GGATGTGAAAGTAGTGCCGCGCCCCCCAGCCGTACGTTTTGTCCCGTAGGGTAACTGGGGACATGGAACAATCCCCCTTACATATAAAAATACATATTTATTAATACATTTATACGTTATTTATGTATATAAAAATTTAAAGTGCCCTGCTTTTGCTATATTTTGTGGAAAAGACTTAAAAAAAAATCTGTAAGTAGAATATTAAACTCTTAAAACACTTCATTGTCGCGTGGCCATTTGTACCTTTATGACCAGATGAAGTTAAAGCTTGAATTGGAATTTGCTCCTGCGTGTCTGTTCAGTAAATTGGTATGTCTTGTCTGAGTTGTACCGTATGCCAGGGCAAGTTCAGTGTCCGCACTCTTTTGCGTTAGATGTAAAGGGCTATTTGAGTTGCCGATGCTGTTAAACTGACGGATTTGAAAGCTTAAAGGGATAGGTGTCTCTTAACTCCGTCAATAACAGACTTTTGGAAGGCATTTCAACTTTTGAACTCGACACTCGTGTAAAACACCGTAGAGTGAATCTAAATCTAGTGATAATAGGCTTGCTTTCTTCGTTACTTTTCATATAGCCCTGTAGAAGTAATCCAGGGATAATCCCCGGGGATAATCTCCCCGGCGTCTATAGATTCAAAACAACTGACTTAAGGTGCGAGGAAGCCAACCTTGTTAATTGGTTTTCTACAGCATCCATCTCAAATGATGTTTCAATGGTAGGAATCAGTGCTACAAGTTGGGAAATAGTAGAATTGGTGATGATCTTGTACGAGTCAGGAGCAGATGCTTTAGTGCTTTAGAGATGCAGGAGTCTTGTGGATTGTGACACTAAAAACTGGAAGTACTGAAATATGTGTTGAGACACAGTTGACACGCTGACTTGAAGGTCTTCATCTAGCCCAGATTTGGGGAGTTCAGTTGAGATTCCCAAGTACTGAGACACCTTTCTTATGGTGGTTTAGGCTTTAGTTATGTTAATTCATTATTTTGTAAGGTGTTGCTAATCACACTCCTGCTTGTGATCCAGTAAGTCACTGGTTGGCATCCTCATCAGGATGTAGGAGACTCAGGTGCAAACTTCCCTACCTAACTGGGAGAGGTTTCATCATGTTCCTGGAAAATACCTGGTCTGACAAATTACCACACAAAAGATCTATTTTGGATATTGAACCGACAGTACAACAATGCGTCAATTCTTGAGCAATTTTTTGTAGATTCATGAAGACGCATCTGTGCATCAGTATTAAATCTTTTGTGTACTTTTTTTTTTTAGCTTGCCACCTAAATTTGTAGTCACCAAAGATAATTTCCTATAGCTTCCTGATACAGCTTCTATACCTTATATGTGAAAATCATGCTGATACAGCACAAGATGGTCCATGAGTTTCATCTGTGTTTGTTTAATGGACGAAAAATTGTCCAAGAGGTTTAGGTGATGACATGATTAAAACCAGAAGAACACTGCTGTCATAATCTTTCCTGTCTTTTAAAAGTTGTTTTAACATTCAATATTTCCTTCAGCTGTTTTTGTGTGGAATGTAAAGCCCTATGGTTTTTTTTGAAATCTTTTTGGTGGAAATGCAGGTATTTAAACAACTCATGCTAACTTTGATTAGATAATATTGTAATGATGGCTTTCAAGTGTGACCTGGCTGTTTATGTCTAATGCAATATTGAGGCTATAAATGTCTTTTGTTGTTGTTGTTGTCTCTTTTCTTAATAAATACAGAGTTTGCTTTCTAAAGCACAAGGAATAGGCTCCAGCTCAGTCAAACTTCGAGGGGGCTCTCTATTTATGAATGTTGGGAAGTCAGAGAAGCAAGAAGAAGATATTAGACAAACACCTCATGTGAACATCAATCCCTTCACTCCTGATTCCATGTTCCTTCACAACTCTGAAGGAAAATGTCGTAGGAGGAAGAGAATGCACTGGAATGAGTGAGTAACTTGCATCTTCCTTTGTTAAGCTTATCTTTAGAACTACTTTTAGCTGCAAAAGTTTTGTTACAAGTTGCTTCCATGAAAGTGTTTTTCCTTGCAAATCTGTTAGTGATGCATAATATAGCTCTTAAAGTATCTGCTTTGAGATGCTTGATACTATGAAATAACCATTTAGCACTAGATTAGTACACAGAGAGGATAGACTATGCTGTGACCTACAGTCTTTTCACCAGAGCTATGCACAGTCTTTTCTTGAGGAGGGAAAAACACATTAAATACTAATGAAATGTGAAGAAAGAAATGACAAAGATATTAGCATCGTACCTTTATTTTTATGAGTTTGTGCTTACAATTGTCTAGCATTCAATTAATTAAACTAAACTTGGGTAGAATGGGAGAATTAGATCTCAGAAAAATCAACAGCTGCTGAAGTTCAGTTTTACACTTACTTAAGCCATATTCTGCAAAAGTAACTGGTGTGACTTCCAGCTCTTGTGGAGAGGACATGGAAGCAAGTGATGGAGAGGCTGAAGATGAAACTATCAGACCTGCTAAGGTAATTAATCTTTAGAACTTGATACTAAGTTTGGCAGTTTGTGTATCTGCAGTTCTAAGTATCTTCCTTTCTAATCTTTGCAGAGGATAACAATAACAGAAAGTAATATGAAGTCACGGTATGCAACCGAATTTCATGAGTTGGAGAAGATTGGATCTGGTGAATTCGGTTCTGTGTTTAAATGTGTGAAGAGGCTTGACGGCTGTATTTATGCAATAAAACGATCCAAGAAACCCTTAGCTGGCTCAGTGGATGAGTGAGTATTTCCTGCTATTAAAAGTTAAGTCACCTCTTGGTGCTTTTTCCTCCCATGTCTCTATGTGCTGGTGTCTAGAGACGGCATTGAAGAGAAAAGTATAAATATACATGAATTAAATGTAAAACAGATACAATTTTGAAGTAACTTTTTTTCATGAATACTGTGCAGTACTGGGTATGAAAGGCTACTTGCCTTTTTCCTAGAAAACATTTGTCCCAATATTCTGTGTGGAAACAGATTGTTCTTATCTGAAAAGTAAGAATAATGCTTACTTGTAGTAATGGCAGGAGGCACTATATGAATAAATTTCAGTGATGATCCTCTGAGATATGAAAGGCAATATTCCTGACTAGGTCCTCATCCTTGTCAACTTGAGTGACATGCAGATCAGTTAAGTCAGTCTTGCGGTATTTTTTGGCATTTGTGAATGAGCCTGCGATTCATGGCTTTTTCCCTGACCATTCTAATAGTTATAATGTAAAACCTCACAAGTTTGAGTCACTCAAAATTGCATGTCAGACTTACACACAAGAAGTTAGGAATGTTGAGTTCAGTGAAGTTCAGTCCTGGGTTATGATTTTTTTCCTAAAATTTCAGCAGTGCTTCTGAAAACTTGCTGCTGGTCGGAAAGTATGTAATGGAAGTGGCATCTCCCTCAAGACTAACCTGGAACAAAACCTGGTTTTTTGATGTTCCGTATACTTAGTCTTTTAATACTAGGGAAATTATTTTAGCTGTTCGGATATAAATACAAATCCATGTTAAGGTGCTACAGAACTGAATATGAAGGTTCTAATTAGAAACTTGGGCTGGCAGAGGGGCATGATATTATAATAAGTGTTCCTATCAAGCTGAAATTGGACTAATTTCACCTCGTAATATTCTTGTATGCCGTTATTTTTTTTGTGACTATAACAGGCAGAATGCTTTAAGAGAGGTCTATGCACATGCAGTTCTGGGACAGCATTCTCACGTAGTAAGATACTACTCTGCATGGGCAGAAGATGATCATATGCTTATACAGAATGAATATTGCAATGGTAAGTAACGTTTATAGCTTATTCTGAACTTGCTTTCAAAAAGTCTAATTTTTGAAGATAACACAGGTGTATCTACAAATCCCTAGCACTAGTTAGGAATTGATTGCCCTACACATAGCTCATACCACTTTTGTCTCAGATATATCTGTTCCTTTCTACTGGAAAAGGCGTATCAGATATATGAAGCAAAAACTATACAAAATTGCAGACAAAGGCTTAAGTGTTCAAGAGTATTGGAAGTACAGCAAGGCATTTGCGAGCAGCAAAAGTGTTCTTTCTTCTTTCCAATAGTACAAGCTTGTATAGAGAAAATTGCCAGAGAGGTGCCTTTAAAAAGGGAGGTGGACCTGTTTTCTGAAGCTTTTTGCTATGGTTTATACCCTAACAGATTTGGAAGAGGGAGAGAGGTCTTTTCCCTTGTGTTGCTATCCTGTTAGTTTGCATGGCAATAGCAGAAAAATTATTTTATTATATGGCTATGAAGAGGGGATACCAGTACTAGATTTTATACTTCCTATGTATCCCAAGCAAGCTCTTGGCGATATATTAACTGTTTATTTTGGAAGCAAGTTGTCATTACTTTGTCAACTGTTTGATGTAAAATGATTAGTTGTTTTCTTTAATGTTTTAGGCGGCAGTTTAGCAGATGCCATAAGTGAAAATTACAGGAATATGCGTTACTTTACTGAACCGGAACTGAAGGACCTGCTCCTTCAGGTGGCTCGAGGCTTAAAGTACATTCATTCAATGTCACTGGTACACATGGATATCAAACCTAGTAAGTTTGTAAACTGCTTTACTCTGTATTGACAACTTCCTCGTTAATTTGATCTACTGTAGAAAAATGAGCAGTTAGCCACACCTTATGAACTGTATAAATTCTTCACTGAAGTTCTAAATAGCAGGATGCAGATGTCGGTTATAAAATTGGCTAGCAAACTTAAACTGTTGTTGTGAGTTTATCTTGAGTCCTTTTTGTGTAGTTGACTCTATTTGCATAACACTTGGCTCCCCTCCCAGCAGAGGGGCCAGAGTGAGTAAGTTACATTTTCTTGCTCTATGAACTGGGTATGTATACAACTAAAACTTTTGTGTGTTTCAAGCAAACTGTAGTGAAACTAGATGAAGTAGAAATTGGACAGAATTTTTTTTTTAACACTTCTGCTCTTTTTTAGGTAATATTTTCATATCTAGGACATCAGTCCCAAGTACAACTTCAGAAGAAGGCGATGATGATGATTGGTCATCTGATAGAGTCATATTTAAAATAGGTGAGGAGCAGCACAGTTGTGCTCAGAAGAATTGCATTGTCTATTTGTCTTCTGAAAAATAACTTTCTTTTCTTTTTGCAGGTGACCTTGGTCATGTAACTCGAGTATCTAGTCCACAAGTGGAGGAAGGTGATAGCCGTTTTCTTGCGAATGAAGTCCTCCAAGAGGTAACTGTTCTGTTTGTACAAGATAGTGATGTTGGGTTTGCATGCTGTTTTCTTTTAGAGTAAGGGGTTGCTGTCTGCCACCTTCTTGCTGGAGAACAAACTTCCTCGATGGTACCCCCTTGAACACTGGTAGTACTGTAATATTGTTGGATGTGTTCAGTGCTGAATAGTTTACCTGTCTGTTAAATTTCTTCTTACACTGGGTGCTATGTCCAGTAACTAATTTATTTTTCTTTGTTTTCAAGAATTACACTCATCTGCCAAAAGCAGATATTTTTGCTCTTGCTCTGACTGTTGTCTGTGCTGCTGGGGCTGAACCACTTCCAACTAATGGGGACCAATGGCATGAAATTCGACAGGGAAAACTACCTAGACTACCACAAGTGCTTTCTCAAGAATTACTAGACTTACTAAAAGTAAGAACTCTTTTACAAGTGGCTCGCTGATTAGTGTAATTTACTGTATTACAGGCCTTAACTACAATGCCTTATTTTCTTTTTTCCAAGGTTATGATTAATCCGGATCCAGAGAAACGGCCTTCAGCTGTGGCACTAGTCAAGCATTCAGTGCTTCTCTCTGCTGCAAAAAAGAGTGCAGAGCAGCTCCGGATAGAACTGAATGCTGAAAAATTCAAAAACTCACTCTTGCAGAAGTAAGTAGTTCCTTGAGGTCCTTAAATATAACTTAATTTCTAATGGGTTTTCATATGACAGTAGAGTGATGATAAAACGGGACCATCCTTGTTTCTGTGCGAGGTCCACAAATCTGTGTGCATGTACATACCTGAAAGTACAAAGTGGGTAACGTAACTTGGAAAGGAACTTTCTCCATAGAAGGAACTTGAACACTCTAAGGGAATCTCAACTACACTATAGTATTCAAGGCACACAAAACATCACAGTTTTGAAAAAAATGTTTCAAGCATAATGCATACTTCTGTGACATGTATAGTGTAACTTACATCTGTATTATTTGAGTCTGTGTTTTCCTAGGTCATCTGTACATTGAAATGTTTTGGAAAATGTGACTAAATGAGCTGTTTTGAACTTAAATGAAATGGCACATCAAGAATGTTTTTGGACTAAATTGACTTATATGCAGCAGTGTTATTAGATTACCACAGAATCATTTGTATAAGGAGGTCACCTTGCCCTACCCCTTGCTAAAACATTGAATTCTGAATTAAAACTTTGAAGAAGAGATTCCCTTCAGGAAAGTCTGATTTCTGCTTAAGTTTCAGAGAAGAGTTAGTAAGTTAAGAAGCAATCATCTGAATCTTTCACTGCAGTTAACTTTGCACGTATTATGCATAATAGGTAGGCTTTTATAAGGAAATATAGAACACCAATTACCTTCTGACTGGCTCATTTTAATGAAGATGTTAACTTGGATTCTCTCCATTGCTATCTGCTTATCTTGCCACTGCTACAGTCTGAGTGTAGCCAGACTTGCCATTTTAGATGGTTAACTTTATGTAATCTTCTTGTGGATTACACTGGCTGTAGAAAGAATAATTTGACAGTTTGTGCAGGTTATTCAAGGACAGATTTGCTGAGGTAACTTGCTTGTGTAAAGGACATATTTTTGTATCATGTGAAAGGGGAAGCTGGCAAAGCTAATACTGGCAAAGCTAATAACTTTTAGTGAAGTACTTCTGGCCTGGCAACATGTAGGGTACATACTTATAACTGTCAATCCAAGAATGATTTAAAGAGAACACTTATCAACAGTAATTTTTAACGTTGTGTGGGATAACGTTCATAAAATAGTTCAGGTAGGTATTTTTTATTTTGTTTTAATTTGTTTTTTTTAACACTCGTGCGTTTGACCTATTTAATGTGCCACTTGTGTATGTAAGTTGTCATCAGTGAAAGGAATCCTTGTAGGGAATCTTCAGAGGAAGGAAGAATTCAAGATTAGACTTCTAGGGAAGAATGGAAGTAATTGTAAAATATAGTTTCCTGATAATGGTGTGGTGAGTGGGTGTGCACACGTGTGTGCATTTGTGACTGACGTTCAGTATTTAGGGAAGATGACTGAAAATGGACTGCATTCTCTTGCAGTGAACTGACACAGTGATAAGGTGGGGAGAATTAGATGGGGCATGGGTGCTAATGAATAATACTTTGGCTTACAAGAATGGGAGTAGCTTATTAAACGAAGACATGTAACTTAAAACTAAATACACCTACACCAATATGCAGCAAGCTTGTAAAATTTGATCTTGCTTTGGAGTGCTGATGTGACATGAGATTACAAATACTAGTTCTTATGGTAGAGAAAATTCTTTGAGGGATAGTTTGGGATAGAAGGAAAAGAGTATGGGGGAATCCTTACACTTAGCCATATGTCAGCATTTAAGGAAAGGAGAAAAGGGGTGTGTGGGGAAACCCTTGATAACTTTGCTCTTTAGTCAGACTATTTCATAGCTTTATCCTGAGTTTTATTTAACTTCTTTCTCAGACTGAGTATTGGTAATGCTCTGCAACAGAATAGTTGACAGAATGTTGCACAGGGACAATCGCCTGTGCTACCTTCAGTGACTCACCCTTGCAGTTTTGGGCTCAAATTTTTGTTAGGCAATGAAGATTTAGGTGGTGATAAACTTTTGATGTGCCTATGCAAAAGGAAAAGGATACTTCCCGAGTTGTCTGTTGCCAGTTACATTCATCTATGTTCATTTAAGTGTGTGTCTGTCTGAATCTTCCACAGAAGTTCAGTTGTGGCTGAATGCTTCATTTGGGCAAACATCAGTAATTAGCTCTTCAGTGATTTATCACACAGCTTGTACTAGAAAGTAGACAGCATCCTACCATGTCCTGGTAATTGAAGTGTGGAGCTGTTTATAAAAGGTTGGATTTCGAAATCCGAGTTGTGTGAATTTGTCATTTCCTTCCCTTGTTGTTCAAAAGAAAGAACACCTAGACAAATAATGAGCATCCCACTTCTGTCCTCTGGGTTGTAAACAAGTGGATGCCAATGATAACGGTCTTAGACTTGCTATCAATTTAGGTCATACTTAAGTTCTGAACTGCTGTAATTAATTTGAAACACTCTTGCTGTGATACGCCTCTAGTACGTATAGATACCATTGTGTAAGTGTGACTCTCAATGTCTTTCAGAGAGCTGAAGAAGGCACAGATGGCAAAGGCTGCAGCTGAGGAGCGAGCACTGTTCACTGACAGAATGACAACTAGATCTACGACACAAAATAGACCATCTCGACTCATTGGAAAGAAAATGAACCGCTCAGTTAGTCTTACCATATACTAACTATGAAGTCTAAAAACTACTGAGGATGGCTTATAGCATCTCTGCCGGACTGGAGCCTAAGGAATTGAAGGAAACATTCAATTCCTGGTTTCTTGTCCTGTCTTTGATAAGTGTCACTAGTTTTACAGGAGTTGCCTCTGGGTTTTTATTTGTACAATATGGCTGATTAGCTGTATTAACCATTTGAGTTAATGGACTCAGTTACTATCTTGTCTATAGAGGATCCTGGATGTTAATCCATAAGCCTTTCAGTTACACTGTTAGATGTTACATCGTCCCAGGGTTAACCACTATAGTGGTGTGCTGCTTTGTAGTGTTACGGCATTGTAATAAGAAGTAATATCCCTAATGATCTTTTAAGAGGGAGGGAGGGGGCCCTGCTTTGATAGTTAGTGAATTTTTTTTGTTTGTGTTTTTTTTTTTTTTTTGTTTTTGGTTTTTTTTTTTTTTTTTTTTTTTTTTTTTTTGTTTTTTTTTTTTTTTGTTTTTTTTTTTTTGGAGCAGAGGGGAATAAATTTTGAAAGACAGGCTTTAAGGCCACCTATACTCAATGTACCTGATGTCAGGTAGACTTTTATTGTGAATTTTATTTGTATATTCAACTGGGAGCACTTTGTAGGCATTGCATAAACCACAGCTTAGAAACCTGTGGAATTAAGTGCCATGTGGAACTGCTGCTATTTTTAGTTTGTTGTCCTTGCTGTAAACTGTAGCATTAAAACAATCATTATTGTGTTAATAGGCTTCTTGTTAAAACAATTACGTGAAACAAATCTAAGCTGCATTTTAGTAAAGGCAGCATTTTTCTCTCAAAGCTAGTGCATTGTGAAATAATGCACCAATTTAATATTTGGACTTTGTATTAGTGTAGTGCAATTGTTAATGTCTTGGCTATTGATGTTTTGTAATTCTTTCTAATAAGGTTCTCTAAATGTTGGTATTTTCTTCAGTTGTCCATTCTTGAGGCTATTGTATAATTTTTTTATGTTGGAATATTGTAAATAATTGTTTAGTGTAAGTGTTCAGGTTGTTCTTCACTGTTTTATGTACATAAGTTTGATCGTGCTTATAGTATACTATACTGAAACTGCAGTCTGAGATGCCAACAGACAAAGCTTAACTATTCAGTTTTAAGCTCCAAAATGAACAGAATGTGCCCGACAAAACCTGTACTGATGTTGGACCTAGGCTGACAGATGTTGCTAAAAATAGAACTGTTCTAATTACTGGCTTATCTCTTCATTAATTTTAGTTTAAACAATGTTTCCTATTTGTGTTCTATTGTTCTTACTAGTCTTGAATTTGAATATTAAAGTTAAAAGTTTTGTTTAATATTGTCTAACACTTATTTAACTCTAGAGTTGTGGAAATAAAATACTGAGTCAGGAATATACTATGGCAAGTCCTGACTAGATCTGCTTCCTGCTCCTGCGTAATGCTTGTGGTTCCCTCTCATGAGAGTGGGGCTGAGATAACATACTTGCTGATAGCTATGTTAGGAGAGAAGCACCGCAGTCTGTGTGTTAGTATCTATAGCAGTCTGTCTCTACAGCTTCAGAAATGTACTGCATGTTGGAAGGATGAAGCCCCGGGAAGGCCTGCAGTGGAACCCATGACTGTGAAGATGGAGGACTAGATGTGAAGAAAGACCTGGATCTGAGGTAAGGAGGAAAACTCATGAATTGCTGAGAACGGGAAGAGAACTGCTTATTTAGGAGTTGGACAGAAAACGGTGGTAGAAATTGGAATAGTCTAGGAAACATGATAACAGCATGTTCTGTGGTATGGATGCAAAATATTTACGCATTTGTATTCTACCCCATGTAAAGAAGAGAGATACAGTAAAATTAATAAAGGCTTAATAGAGTAGTCTATTGGGGAAGGTTTTACATTGCTGTATTAAAGTCACAGGTGACTGTCAGAGAAGCTGTATGTGAATTGAAAGGACTACCATAAAATTTAACTTTGCAATTAGCAAATGAAAACTGCTAAATATTTTTATTTGTAAGAGGTCTCAGTGCTCTTCATGTTATGACAGTGAAATTCAGAGGCTTCGTTTAGGAAACTTTATTCTCTGAATATACAGTTTGCATCAGTAAAAACTGATAGACTGAAATACCTTCAAGTTTTTACTTTGTATAATAGTCCTGTCTTGTTTGTGAGAGAACTTAGAACATCTCATGGTTTTGTTGCAGAATTTTAAGGTTCATCTACACTAAATGAGACCTCTCTTAAAGCATACTTCTAAACAGTCATAAATATCAAATCAGTGGGGGATCAACAAACTTAAGTCCTTCTTCCCCTATAGTGGAGATAAATTTGATCTACCTATGATAATTATGTGCTCTTGCATAGCTCCTTTTCAGAAGCTTGTAACATCAGTACAGGTACTGCTGTGCAAACAAGCTGTACACAGTAGCTGTGTAGGCTTGTAGAGGTGTACTCTTCCCTGGGTAAAAAACTGGCTGGATGGCCAGGCCCAAAGAGTTGTGAATGGGATTAAATCCAGTTGGTGGCTGGTCACAAGTGGTGTTCCCCAGGGCTTAGTATTGCGGCCAGTTCTGTTTAATATCCTTATCAATGACCTGGACGAGGGTATTGAGTGCACCCTCAGTAAGTCTGCAGACGACACCAAGTTGGGCAGGAGTGTTGATCTGCTTGAGGGTAGGAAAGCTCTACATAGGGATCCGGATAGGCTGGATCAATGGGATGGGCCAAGGCCATCTGCATGAGATTCAACAAGGCTAAGTGCTGGCTCCTACACTTCGAGTCACAACAACCCCATGCAATGCTACAGGTTGAGGGAAGAGTGGCTGGAAAGCTGCGTTGTGGAAAAGGACTTGGGGGTGTTGGTCAGCAGCTGGCTGAATATGAGCTGGCAGTGTGCCCAGGGGGCCAAGAAGGCTAGTAGCATCAGAAGTAGTATGGACCGCAGGACTAGGGAAGGGATTGTCCTCCTGTAGGCATTGGTGAGGCTGTGACTCAAATACTGTGTTTGGTTTTGGGCCCCCCCGGAAGAAAGACTTTGAGGTGCTGGAGCGTGTCCAAAGAAGGGCAACAAAGCTGGTGAAGGGCCTAGAGAACAGGTTTATGGAGGGCAGCTGAGGGAACTGTGGTGGTTTAGTCTGGAAAAAAGGAGGCGCAAGGGGAGACCTTAATTGCTGTCTACAACTACCTGAAGGGAGACTGTATTGGGGTGGGTGTTGGTCTCTTCTCCCAAGTAACAAATGATAGGACAACAGGAAACGGCCTCAAGTTGCACCAGGGTAGGTTCAGATTGGATATTAGGAAAAATTTCTTCACCAAAAGGATTGTCAAGCACTGGAACAGGCTGCCCAGGGAAGTTGTTGAGTCGCCATCTGTGGAGATATTTAAAAGATGTGTAGATGTTGTGCTTAGGGACATGGTTTAGTGGTGGACTTGGCAATGTTAGGTTAACAGTTGGACTTGGTGATCTTAATGGTCTTTACCAACCTAAATGATTCTCTTCTATTGCTCGTCACAGGTTTTTTATCTGCCATGGAGTGGATGCCTAGTCTAAACCACACAACTGAGGTGGCTTTGGATGTTTTAACTTTCTCCTGTGTGCCTAGGAGCCTAAAAAGGAGTTTCAGGGTTTTTAAGTAATTTATGGGAGCAGTAAGAATGGTGAAATTTTACCTCAAATTTTCATAAGCTTTCCTGAGGCCGATGGTGAGGCTGAGAATCCTGTCACCAACGGTGGCCGTGGGAAGAGAAAAGGCAGATAATTTGGGAAGTGTGCATTAATGCCTCCCATGAATACTCCCAGCATCCAGTGATTCAGATGCTTGCTGAGTGAGAAGTGGCATTGATTTTTATTGACACTGAAGGGTTTTCTTTTTTTAATAGAAACAATTTTATGGTATGTTTTGTAGCTTACAAATTTATTGCAAAAACAACATTTGGGCAAAACTTGTTAGGTAGTCAGGCAAGCCATCTTTTCAGGTGGAAGAAGCTACAAGCCTCTTGCAAAATGTAGAAAGTCAGATGTCAGTTGAAGAAATTCTACCAAGCATGGTATAACAAGATGAGCTTCAACACTTCCAGAAGAAAGCTTTATCTCAATTTAAGAAGCAAGCATTGGAGTTGGGTGGCAAACGTGTTATTCAAAATAGCTACATTTAATGTTTAACCATTTTTTCTCGTGAATTCATCTAGCTTAACTTTCCGGTACAGAAGTAACATAGTACCTTATTTGGTCAGAGTACCTGACTTCTTCAAGAAGTACCTAGAAAGAGAACCTAAAAATAACCGAAAGCAGGCATTTCATGTCTTCTCCTCCTCTAGATATTTGTCTGCTTCTTTGTCTTTGTATATAAATCCAGTGTCTATAATCCATCTTCTAATGATGCGTTACTAGACAACACTACCTGTTTAGTCTTGCTGCATCTTGTGCCCAAAGAGTGGGTAGTGTGGTGGACTAAAGCTCTTACAGAATTAGTTTCTGATAAGGACATGACCATGTAACACTGACAAATGCAGCTTTCCAAAAGAATATTCTGAAATTATTCCATCTAAATGGTTTATTTATGGATTAATTGTCTTCCATTGGACTGTACAAAACTAGTTCTTGTTGGAAATAAACAAAAAAGTATTAACCCCCCCCGCCAACTTCTTAATGTGAATTTCAAGTATCAATGATTGATTCACTTTTTGGATAATTCATCTTGTGAATCAAACCTTTCCATGGACTACTTGTAGAAATACTGATGGTCCTTAGTTTTTAATTGTTTTTCAGGCTAAATCATTATAATCAAATAATAAATTCTATATTTTAAAGTCATGTATGGTATTCAAATGCTAGAAGAAATTCTACTTATGCCATTACTATCAAAACAAAATCGGGTTTACTTGGAGAGTATTTTTTTCAGAAAACAGTACTGTGATTGTCATGCATACTACTGATCCATTATAGCCATAAAGGCCAATAGATGGACAAGGAATATGTCTGTAAAGAGAAGTTAGCACCTTCCAGTTGGAAGCTGTAGCATAACTAGAAATTGTTGTTCTACTTTCATAGATTGCTATCAACTCCCAGCAGTTTTTGTCATGAATTCACACAGGATTAACCAGCTAGAATTACTAAGGTCATCTTAATATCTTTGGTTTTTGTTAAGCTGTTGGTACATAGCATTTGTCTAGGGTTGTGGGGGTTTTTTGCAGTTTCCAAGTGTTGTAGAATAGTTTTGGTTGGAAGGGACCTTTAAAGGTCATCTAGTCCAACCCCCCTGCAGGGCACAGAGCAGGTTGCTCAGAGCCCCGTCCAACCTGACCTTGTCCTA